CCATCAGCAAGTCTGGACCAACGCGCAGTGACAGTGCCATCCTTCCACGATGCCTCGACTTCCACGATGGCAACACGGGGTTGGCAGGGGTAGGGTCTACTCCGGTTGCCCACCGCAAGGTTGCCACCGGAAACAACAGTTCTACCACCCTCATGCCATTTATCTCGCCGTCGTTTCGCGCTGTTGGTTCTTGATGATTCTTGAGTTTTGCACGTGTGCAAAGAGTGACAGGCATTGCGACGTCTTCGTGTAAACTTCTATTTCGTACAGTTCGCAGTTCGAGTTCGCAGGAACGCCCTCTGAAGCCGAAGCTCCAAGGCCCTAGTGTGTGAAAGGTTTTTCGATACCCATCACTCCCGTCCGTGAGTCGCGCTGTTCGTATAGAACGAAGGCTGCGAGCGGGGACCTGTGAGGGCCCATGTTCGCAGACCAGAAACCGCTCCAAGACTTTCGGGATGGGAGAGAAGAACGTCCCAGAGTCCAAGCGAACACTTTCGCTTTTCAGTAAAGTGGTGCTTGTCGCTGTTCGTTGTGTTGCCGGGGCTGGCCCTTAGATCTTGCGCCGAGGGTCCGCCTCTTTGTTAGGCCAGGCTCGTGCCTCCGTCGATGCTGCCCTCACCAAACCACCCCATCGTGTGTATGTATGTCCGTATGTCCGCATGTCGGTATGTCTGCATGTCTGTCTGTCTGTCTGTATGTATGTCTGTATGTCTGTATGTCTGTATGTCTGTATGTATGTATGTATGTATGTGTGTGTGTATACGTGGGCATGTATGTGTATGCGTATGTGCATATACAAACTTACATACATATATACATACATACATACATGCATGCATACATACATACATACATACATACATGCATCTGTGTGCAATACTTCGGTTGATCTAGGCAGCAGGGAGACGTACGCGGTACTGCTCACACTGACATTCAATGCGGACTAGAACTCTGGAACCTTTACGCTGGCCATGCCATCTGCATCGCATGCAAGGTATCTGCGGATCCAGGCAATGATGCCGAAATGAAGGAAGGCCATTGTCCTCAGTTTTCGGTTGTCCTCTGAGTCAGTGTCCAGCGGGGGGCCGCTACTTCAATGCACAAACTTCGGGTGCTAAATTTGAATCTTCAAAATCTCGAGATCTCGAGGCCCATGCTGATGCTATCGTGATCCAACCTCAAGTCTCGATCTGCTACTGGCCAACCTCAGATCCCACCCTTTCGAGCTTGGGAACGCTTTAGCCGAAACCGAGAACCTGCAAACCGGTGAAGTCCAAGAAATCTTCGAGGTGACGAGGGCGGCGCCCCTGAGGGCCAAGCGGAGGACGGGCAATACATGGCTGGCTTCGCAATCTGCTACGAAGATGGAACGGCAGAAATGCTAGGATTTAGTGCCATGCAGGTTTTAAGCCGTAGCTTTGCCTCCGAAGTGAGCTTGCGATGGCAAGTTGGTCTCACTTCCAGGTGAATGACGAGGACTTGGATGTCTTCGGTGTCGAAGATGCACCTTGCATCGCAAGAATAGGATTTCGAGGTTTAGGACTTTAGACATCTTTAGACACTCAGGGCATTGGTCGCCCTTCTGTTTCACTGTCTTGCCGCTTAAGTTGGTGGAAGGTCATGGACATCGGCGATGGTCGCCCACTTTTCCTCAGCTTCGTGTACGAGGACAGTAGGCTTCGGTTGCGAGTCGTGGGCCAGAGAAAGACCTGACATCTCGGCCTGTGTAAAGACTCTACGCCCAGTCTTTGCAACACTCGCCCTTCGGCATGAGCTTGTCATACGAGGTAAGGTTTTGTGAGTTGGTAAATGTGCCCCCAGCCGTGAACAACTCGTTTCCTTTGGAGGCGCACGGAGCTAAGTATGAGAAGCTCAAGCTTCGCTCTACTCAGAGAGTGCCTTCGATCTTGGCTTCCAAATTACAAGGACTGGGTCCTCCTCAGCCTTAGATACGAGCCGGCACCTCGGGTACGGCCCTAGGCGCTGTGCTGTCCCCAAAGCAGCTAAGAGTTCTTAGAGGGCCCAGTGCCGGACTTCGAAGCCCCACATCCGAGGCTTAAGACGTCTTCGTAGCAAGGCCAGTGAGTCCCAGCGACAGCCTCTCAGGCTGCATCTGCTGGTGCATGCCTTTAAGCATGACGTCGCAGATGAAGACAGGCCTGCGCTCCGGCTCAGGATGAGGTCTCCCCTGATTCGGGTTCGGGGCGTGAGGATCGTCTAGAGATGATTGGCAGAAGCCCCTATTCGACAAGGATCCACGTTTCATCCGGCCTAAGTCAAGCGTTCCTCAGCCGGAAGGCCTTCTGTCCCAAGCTCCCATGGCAAGAGGTTCAACTCCACGACAGACGGATCCCAAACTCCGGGGGAGGGGGGGGGGTGTGACGCGCTGGATCCCGATGCCTCTCTTTGCCCCCTACGGTGCCACGGTGTCAGGCCGAGCTTTCACGAGCGTCACCTGGAGTTCTACTTCCACAAGTGGGCAGCCTCAGTGAGGATCTCCAGGAGCAGGGCCCTTTTCGCAGGCTTTCTACGGGATACGGAGCCCTGATTCCAAGAACCCGGGGCCGAAGGCTCAATTGCTTGGGGAGTTCTTGAGCTGCAGCTTGGCTTGAGGAATATCCCTCATGCACATATCGGATCCCCCAATATGATTCAAGGACGAGTCCTGGCTTTCATGGTTTCGGCCCGGCAGCCTCGAGAGCGGATTTCATTTCCGGACTGAGACCTGTGAGCTCACCGCTCCTCCAATCCCGAAAATCTGACTTGACCTTAGTAGGTGAGTGGGTTGCCTCCAATTTTGCTTGGGTTCATATGATCCGGCCAGAATCGAAGGGACTCAGCAACTAGGCACTGTGAATCGAGGCTAATCGAGGCTGAGGACACTTGCCAGGTATGTCTTCGAGAAAGGGCAAAGGGGCATTCGTGCGTTAGCTCCCCGAAAAAAGCATCAAGCCCCAAGTTCGTCAACAGGTACTTCAGGAGAAGCCTGCAGCTGAAGATGTTCGGCGTGCAGACGAACGAAGAGCTGATAGCTTTAATAAAGGACATCGGTCGGGGGCTGTTCATGATGTTAATGCGAGGGCTCGCAAGAAAAGCTTTTTCGGGAAGTTCGAGCTCAGGCTGTGGGCGAGGCCAGGGCAGCGAGCCCTGAGCACCCCGCTCCAAGCACTTACCACTTACCACCGTGAGCTCCAAGGGAGCTCCAAGGGAGCTCCAAAGTGCCATCCGTGCCCAGAACCCAAGAGGAAAGCTGCAGATTTCCCACCATTGCAGGATTCCGTTTCCATCAGCAAAGAGACGCAGCTTCTGGAAGCGACGATGCCTGTGGAGGAGATCGGGGATGGGGTGAAGAGGATAAGGGCCGACTCGTCTTCGGGGACTTGTGTGTAGCCTTTTGTCCGCGCTGAACTCCGACTTCCAAGCTCAGGAGCCGCTGGACAAGTTCCTCCGCCTTGCGGAGGAGCACCGGCGGGACAGACAGCGTCGATGACCCAGAGATGCCGAGATGGCTAAGGGCAGGAGCGAATCCGCTGGTTTCGGTTTCGGCTCTCTGGCCAGTGAAGATGCCTTTCAAACTGAAGTGCCATGGCTTGGATCGTTTTCGTGGCAAGCCTCGTCTATACGGCCTTGGCAAGTCAGATGTGGGGTTTCAGTTTGAGAGTAGTTTGGGTTTGCGGGGAAAGGCGCTACTTCTAGGGGCTTTAGCCTTTCTTAGCTTAGAATTTCCTTCTGGAGCGGGCTCGGGCGACCCGGCTTGCTGGCCAAGCTGAGAGCGAGTCTCGGCCCAGCTTCGAAGATCTTTCGGCCTCAAGCCTGTGCACTACCGGCACGCGTGCTGGTAGTACTATATTATATTGTCATGCTTCTACTTTTGTAATCGGTAGTCAGTGCCTTCGGCACTCGGAGAGCTTGAGAAACCAGATTCAGGGTTAAGGCTTTTCTGATCCGGGGGTTTAGGTTTGGGGCATGTTTAGGGTTTTCACGTTGTGGGTGCTTTCGGGTTTAAGTTTAGATCCAGTGGAGATCATAGTGAAAAAGTTGACGCCAACTCCGGGTCAGAAGCCTAGTGGGCAATCCTGCTGTGGAGTGCTGCAACCGGAAGGCTGCATAGATGCCGGCGACGAAACTGCAGTTCTGAAGTTTCAGAGACCTGTCCGGACCTCGGGCAGTTCCATGTGCAGCTTCCTGCTGTCGGGAAGGGTGGCAAACTTTCAGTTTCAGGCGCCATGCATTCAGTGCGGACGGTCCTTGCCACCTAGGGTTGCAAGTCGTAGGATCCGCTTCTGACAGATGATGTTGGCCTATAGGCTTCGGACACAAGTGTAAACTTCTTTGGTGGTCTTCTTGCAATATAGGCTCTCCTTTACCTGCTTCGAGATGATTGTCAGCAGTTTTTTGAAGGGTGGCAAGACCACTAATTTGCTGCAATTTGCTGCAAGTCCACCGGAAATGCACCACTGAGCTGGAACTACATTCACAGGAGCTCAAACCAGAAGATTTGCATAGTACTTCAGACCTCGCCTTGCCACCTGTTGGGGCGCGAAAAGGCTGCTACTTTAAAGGTCTAAGAACAAGCCTTCGCAGAGGACCTGCTCAATCGTCCCAGGCACCACCGCCTCGAACGTACAGCCCAGCCTGGTTGTACACAAGCCCGCGTGTACATGGACTTTCTTTCGCTTCTCTGGTTGCAGGGTTCATGCTGGCTGACTCGATTCGCAGGTTCTGCGGCAGGGTTGTGCTTTTCGATTTGAAGCTCTGGCTTTCCAGGCTTTCGATTCACTGTAGACGCATGCGTCCCAAGTGAGCGCTATGTTCTCCTCTGCAGGCGGGTTGATATGCTCAGCGGACAGAGTACCATCTGTGCCGGCATCATTTCGTGGCGTCCATGAGATGTAACTTCTTGCGCTTACTTGTGTGTTGGAGCTTTTTGTTGGGGACTGCTGTTGATGAGATCCTCGGGTGAAGATCCTCTCTGATAGGGGAGGGCTCCTCCATATTTGATGGGAGCGTCGCATCTCAGCCCTTCCGGGTTCGCGGCTTCCAAGCACTGCACAGCCAGGCCAGAAGCCAGCGATCGAGGCAAAGGGCACGAGAAAGGTGGCAAAAAAGGTGGCAAGTACGAGGCGACGCAGCAACGGGCCAAGCGCTTCAGGGCTTCAGCAGCTTAGATTGTCGGCATAAACAAAGCTGTGGCAGGCAGCTGCGGTGTCCTTTCTGTTTGGGGCAGTGCGGATCTGTAGCCGGAGCACGGCAGTGAAACTGAGCTTTCAACCTGTCTCTGGGCCACTCTGTTTCAACCTTCTAGACGAACAAGAGCGGTGGATTTTAGCTTGCTAGGTTCTTGCGACTGTACTTGTCGGCATTAACTGGCTTTTTCAATTCCATTGTATTCTGTGCTAAGCACCTACGTTTATGCCAAGTGCTAACGTCCACGGTTGTGCGCGATGTCGCAAGCAGGAAATTCCCAAACCCGCTTAAACTGTGCTTCCATCTTCTGATGTACCCCGACGGGCAGGGCAACAAGGGCCGCCCCGCGGCGGCGCCGAAGGGTGGCCGCCAGAACTGGGACCGGGACCACGAGGCCGCTTACGAGCTCTTTTGGAGCAGGCTTTCGCGACGATAGATGCATCATAATCATAATACACACACACACACCCACACATACCAACAGAGACAGCGCTCTTAGAAGTTTATGTCTGTTGCTCCCCCTCTCTCTCTATATATAAATAAATATATATATATATACACATATTTATATTTATTTATAGATCTGTGCGTATATATATATATATCTATCTATATACACATACGTATTTATATGTATGTGTACATGCACATGCACATGTCCCTATAGTGTAAGGCATTTTCAAGATCCATATTTGAAGCTGTACCTGTACCTATATGTTGGTGTACGAAACCCTCAACACCTGGCGGCCTGAAGGGCAAGTCTGGCTACTCGCGCCCCCCTCCTCCACCGCAGAGCGGCTACGTTCCTCTCGGCCGCATTTCGTCCTACTTCACGCGTTTGTTTTTGGTAGCGGGCGAGCACAAGAAAGGTTCTTGCTGTCTTGTGATTCTTGTGGGCAGGCCGGGTAACAGGCAGTTTGTGGTTGATGGTCCAAGCGGCCACAGGTCCAGGTGTTCCGGGAGTTGTGGGCCATTGAATCCCGGAGCCGCTGGCAAAATGTTTCATATTAGTCTGGTTCCTGAAGGCGGGCAACCTCGTCAGAGAAGTTTCAATACGGGAGCTATTCAGAGGTGAAGAAAGGCCTGCAGCAGCAGCACCGCTTGCAGGACCCAGAGCTGTACTCTGCGGAGTTGTGTAGAACTGTTAAGGGATGGGACCGGCTCTTCCGGCCAGTGATACCTGCCTCGACTCTGGAACAGCTTCAGAGAAACACAAGAAGTCTGAAGCCCGCCCTAGGCTGGAGGAGGACGCAGCGGCTATGGCTCGCAGCGGCCCTGGGCTGGAGCATTGCCCCCTCTGGTCGGGAATCTGCTACAAGTCGATACTGTGGCAAGGCGCGACGACAACAGATCCGGCGGCCGCCAGGACGGAACAGAAATCTTAGGCTCAAGCAGCTGCAGCAACGTATCATTGGTCAGGCTTCTTCGAGACTGAGAAGTTCCGACAGCCCGGGATTTTCCTGAAGCCTCTCCTGTTCAGTCGGCGACTTCAGCTAAAGTTAATTTGGCCACAGAAGTCAGAAGTTGCGAGTCCTAAAGAAGTCACAGGCAGCCGAAGCCGCCAAAGTGCCCGCACCGGGGCCCAAACTGTGAGTTTCCCCATCCCGCTAGGTGCACCCCAAGCGGTCTTCAGACCTTCTGCCCCCGACAGCCTACGAGATCGCCTTTGCCCTTCTTAACCCCAGTCCACGTGCCTCACCACCAGGAGTGGCGAGGCGGCGGCGGCGGCGGTGGTGGTGGGGGAAGCAGTGTCCCAAGAGGATGTGTGTGGTGCAAAGTTTGAGCCTGGTGTGAACTGATCTGCCGCTGAAGCGCATCCAAACTATCGAGACTGCACTTGCTGCGAAATCATTGCAGGCTCTCTCGTTGTGGATCACGGCTGATGATGGTTTTCCGGGTTTACAGTCGGCAGTATGTGGCTTGTGTTTTGCTTTGTAGTGTGGGCATTTCAGCTTGTAGAGTGATCTGTTGAAATGCCCTGGACTGACAGAGGTTTGTAGGATTTGAGTTGTCTTTCAAAAGGCTTTGCTGCGTTGCGAGGCCGAGGCGGCAATCCGCCACGGAATTCTTACGGCTGGGGCCTCGGCCAGGGATCGAAGCATCCTAAGCTCCTGCGACCCAAGTGTGACCAGAATCTCGCCAGGCCAAAGCGGTGGTGGCTCGAGAGGTTATGGCGGTGCCTCTTTGCATGTTTCTGCTTCGATCCCTGACCACCTTCTGGCATCCCTTGCTGTGCCAGGAGGGTATAGTCGAGGTCCGGGGTCCCGGATTTGCAGCCTCAGTGTTGCAGTCTAGCTCGCACTCGTCTTGGAGTGTACTCGCATGCCTCCGCATAGCAAACCTTTTGGGCTCCTTTCTCTGTGCTCATAGCCTCGGTTACACAAGCCTCTCGAATCCAGGTGGGTTTCTTGAAGGTCAAGTCATGCTCATCGTCTCAGCTTCAAGACATGTTCCTGCCTGCAACGCCTCCAGACCTGGGGCCCGCCATGATCCGTAAAATCTAAATTCCAAAATCATTGACACCAGAAACAGATGTCCTCCGAGGCGGTGACAGGGGTGATGACCGCGGGCAAGGGCAGCATCTCGGATGCACGCAGACCATAGTCGTTGCATGCCAGAGGCGAGCCATGACAGGTAGCATTGGGTTCGAAACGGCTCCTAAAAGCTGCGCTCTTCCCGTTCGGCGGGATCATCGCGCCACAGGAAACGGCCCTACACTCCACCACCACCTTCTGCCTATGCTTCAAAGCGGGGGTCTCAGTCCGAGTCGAGCCAAAGCCTAAGCACTGGATTCTTTGCCTGGAAGAAGATTTGTCTACGAGCTACGAGCCTCATGGGGTAGGCAGGCTACCACGAGGAGGGGTTTTCAACATAGGCCGAACAAGCTCCTTCCAAATTGTTGTGTGGCACATTGCGAGACGCAAAGCTTCGTTTCCGGTATTTTGGGGGAACTTGCCTGGCGCCGAGCGGATTGCATCAACTGCGGAGCCTGATTCGCTGGCACAGGCAGCGCTACTGAATGGCACGATGCAAATGTTGCGGAAATCTACACGCAATGACCCGTCAAGCTTATAGATGAACCAAAAGGAAGATACATAAATCAAACGATTATTCTACAAATTTTGATAAGGAAGACCAGAAATCATAATAAGGCATCACTTTGGATTTCAGAATAAGAAAAAGATAGATTGATAACGAAATTGATAAAGATCTATATTTACTTATGATTGCAAAAAGAGAGAAGATAATATTGTTTTTATCGAACAAATATCTGAAGAAAATAATATAGAATAAATAATATTCATACATTAATATTATAATAATTATTTTCAAATTAAAAAATGGCGATAAAAAATTATAGAGCAAATAAATCTGATAATGAATCGAATTTGATTGCATTATCTTGAAACAACTTATAATTATGATCTTATTATTCTTAGTTAAAAATAAAAAATATTTTAAAACGGTTTATTAAAATTTTCTAATTTAGAAAAAAAATAAATAATTGAAGTGATAAAATATACTCGAATTAAGAAAAAATAGGAACTGAATGAATTATTTTTTTGAAATTAAATAAATTCTTTATATTTACGAAAAGAGATATATTATTTAATAACTAAATTTTATGAAAAAAGATATATTATTTAATGAATAAATTTACGAAAATAATTGATTTAGTGATAATAAATAATTAAGTTAATAAGATAATATATAAAATGATATTAAATTAACTAATT